TGGATAATATCGAATTTACAGGCGAGCGTTACTCGACTAAATTGCCATGGAAGGAAGCCCATAAACCCCTTCCAACTAATTACGGTGTCAGTGTAGCGAGATTAAAGGGGCAATTATCTAAACTCAAGAAAAGCCCTGAAGTATTGCAAGAGTATGACAATATTATTAAGGACCAGCTTGAGAGGGGGATTATAGAGAAGGTTGTAGGTTTAGATAATTCTAGCAATGTTCATTATTTACCACATCATGCTGTTATAAGGGAGGAGGCAGAGACCACCAAATTGCGTATTGTTTACGATGCATCGTGTAGAGAAAAACACAATGGTACTTCTTTGAATGATTGTTTACACGTAGGCCCGTCCTTGAATCCGTTGCTTTTTGATCTTCTTGTCTCTTGGAGACATCACCAAGTCGCCTTAGTCGCCGATATTGAGAAAGCCTTTTTAAACATAGAAGTGCATCCTGAAGACAGGAATTGTTTACGTTTTTTGTGGGTTAATGACATAAATTCCCAGTCGCCATCTATTGAGACGTATCGTTTTAATAGAGTAGTTTTTGGAGTAAATTCATCTCCATTTTTACTCAATGCTGTTTTACGTCATCATATTGACAAATATACAGAGGTCGATCCGCAATTTGTATCACATGTAAGAAATGAATTTTACGTAGATGACCTAGCATCAGGAGCTAAGAATGTAACAGCAGCGCTGGAATTGTATTATAAGGTTAAGAACAGGATGGCTGAAGGAGGTTTTCATTTACGCAAATGGAAAACTAATGAACCCGAAGTCGCGAAGGTTATTGAATCTGAGGTTATTCAGGAGTTGAATTTTAAGACAAAAGAATGCGACAATTCGTATGCGAAAACCATCTTGAATGAGGGAAAGGATATTGATTCCTCATGTAAAGTTTTAGGGATTCATTGGAATCAACGTGAAGATACCTTGCAATTCGAATTTTCGAAAATTGCATCCGAACTACTGGGTAAGAAAGTAACCAAGCGTGAAATATTAAGTTTTCTTGCCAAAACTTTTGACCCGTTAGGAGTTCTTTCGCCTATTCTGATTAATGGGAAATTTCTTTTTCAGGAATTGTGTGTCGAAAATATTGGGTGGGACGACGAGTTACCCCCTGATAAATTAGAGCGTTGGAATAATTGGTTAAGTTCATTAATTAATGTGGGCTCTATTGTTATTCCCAGATGTTTGTATGGGAAGAATGCTGAGAAAATTTTGCATTGTTCCCTACATGGTTTTGCTGATGCGTCTTTAAAGGGTTATTGTGCTACCGTGTATTTTGTTTATGAAGCTAAGGAAGGAGTTTTCAGTCAGCTAGTATGTTCAAAAACCAGAGTAGCACCATTGAAAGCTCTTTCTATCCCGCGTTTAGAATTAATGTCTGCTAGAATTCTCGCAACACTAATGAAAACTGTTTCCTCAGCCTTAAGTAGTTACTGTTATATAGAGGAAAGGTATCTTTGGCTTGACAGTAAAACCGCATTGTTTTGGATAAATAACAGAAATGAATGGAAACAGTTTGTGCAACACAGAGTGAATGAAATTTTAAGGTTATCTTCAAGTGAAGAGTGGAGACATTGTCCCGGTAAAGATAATCCAGCAGATTTAGGATCGCGTGGGGTTTATGTTGATACTTTGAAGGATAGTGAGTTATGGTGGCATGGTCCAGACTGGTTATGTCAGGATAAGTCTTGTTGGCCGTCAAATATTGATTTAGGTAGACCTTCTGAAGTAGATGTGGAACGTAAGAAGGTTGTCAATTCCATGTTGATTAGAGAGGAGAGTTCTAAGGATATTGATCAACTCATTGACATTAATAAGTACAGTTCGTATGATAAGCTTGTACGCGTTACTGCATATGTCTGCCGATTCATAAATAATCTTAAAGCTAAAATGAACAAACAGGAAAAATTAATTGGATCTGTAACTGTACCAGAAATCTTGTCTGCGGAAAGGTTGTGGATTATTAATGCGCAGGCAGTCTTGAAACAAGATCCAAAATTTGAATTGCTTAAGAAACAGCTACGCATTGAAGAGCAGAGTGGTATTTTAAGATGTGTAGGTAGACTATCAAACTCTGATATGGAATTTGAGAGCAAATTTCCTATAATATTGCCAAAGAACCATCATTTCACGGAACTCGTTGTTTTACATGTCCATGCGTTAATGGGGCATGAGGGTCTTCGTATCACTTTAACGGAATTAAGATCTCGGTTTTGGATTACTGAGGGTAAGGCTTATAAGGCACCACCTATGGCACCGTTACCAGATTTTAGAGTACAGGAGTCACCGCCTTTCAGCAAAGTAGGTGTTGATTTTGCTGGACCGTTGTATGTCAAGGGGTTAAAGGGTAAAACACGTAAAACGTATATCACCCTTTTTTCATGCTGTGTAACACGTGCTTTACATTTAGAATTGGTGGAAGACCTTACAGCTCAGTCTTTCTTAAGATGCTTAAGACGATTTACTGCTCGAAGAGGTACGCCAGAGTTAATCGTATCCGACAACGCAAAAACTTTTAAGGCAGCAGCCAAGTCTATCAATCGTATATTCAGAAATAAAGATATGCAGCGGGAGTTGGAGTCAAGAAGAATAGAATGGAAATTTAATCTAGAAAGAAGTCCGTGGTGGGGTGGCATGTTTGAACGAATGGTTGGTTTAGTTAAACGTATACTTAGAAAAATTCTTGGCAATGCTCTTTTGAATAAGGATGAAATGCATACTGTTTTAGTAGAAGTGGAAGGAATTTTGAATTCTCGACCACTGACGTACATATACGAGGATGATTTTAATGTTGACATACTAACACCGTCTCATTTAATGTTTGGTAGGAGATTATCACCTCTTGCAGATCATATAGAATTTAATTATTCTGATGATGAAACTTCGCATAGTAAACGATTCCTTTATCTAGTTAGGAAATTACAACATTTTTGGAAGAGATGGAGAACCGAATATTTGAGGGAACTACGTGAAAAGCATAATGCTGCTGGAGCCGACAATTGTGACATGCATAAAGGAGACATAGTATTGATAGAGGATGAAAATGTCAAAAGAAGTCAATGGAAGATTGGAAGAATCGAAAGAATAATTGTCGGTAAGGATGGTAAGATACGGGGTGCTTCTGTAGTTAAGATTTGCAAAGGTAAGCGAGATTTACTTAATAGACCAATTACTAAACTTTATCCTTTGGAGATAACAGGGACAAGTGACGAAGTGGGGGATATAGGAAATGGTGACAGTGAAAGAAAGGAAGTACGGAATAGGCCTCGTAGAGCTGCAGCTGCCGACGCGCTATGGCGGACCCGTCTTGTTTTTGACTCGGAGTGAGTCAAGGGGGGAGAGTGTCGCGGAAAGCAGGGAGTTTGCCGCGCAAACGCCTTTCCCACGGTTTACTTGCGTAATTAACCAGCGTGCTATTAATCAAGGTCGTGTTTTCAGTATTCTTACTATTTCTTTTGTCTCGTAATAGATCTACATAGGTTTAATCGTTAACACATTTATTGTTGGTAATATCTTTTGTATTTGCCGCTTGGTTAATTGACTTGGAACATTTACACATATCTTTTGTAATCATATTTTCTAAAGGGACCGATAACTAAAAAACTAATTGCTTATGGTTTAATGAAGTCAGTGTGTGTTGGAAATGAGCGTGTAATGTATACTACATATTTTTACTAATAAAATGATAAAATACAAAATGTTGTATTGATTGTTGATTGCCTTACTGCAACACACTTTGTTGATTTGTTCGGACTGTTACGATAGAAACAGACCAGAACCCAGATTCACGAATCAGTTAAGGACATGTACCTCAAGATGGAAGGCGACGAACAACTGTTCACGAGACGACAGTTCGAACACCCTGCATACCATCCAGAGATGCATAGTCAAACCCAGTAGCTGGCAAATATCTCAATCACAGGACTTGTCGATTTCTAGTTTACGGACACAAAATATTCATTGGACGTTTAATTATTTTTCATTAGATTCACTTTAAGAATCGAGGACGATTCATTTTCCTTGATAGGGAGGTATGTAATATAGGTACTTATTTCATTTTAGGTCAGTCTTGCGTTTATGTCTATATTTGTTCATGCTTCTCTTTGATTAGGAAATATTAGCGTGTCGCGCTTTAGTTTTTCATGTTTTCCGGTATAGTAATATTTTACATGCCCTTTTGCTCTACAAAGTTCCCCCGCGTATCCTAATATATCTAACACCTCCTACTAGTTCATTAACGTATTGCACGATAGATACCGACAATAACACCGGCAATTATTGATATTAGTTTGCTACATTGTAATGCTGTTATATAAAGTAGAGTACGGAGAAACAGAGTTAGTTAGTTAGAGAGAGAAGCGTGGTGCTTGCGAAAGGCCACTGCTATCAAACATGTAGACACTAACTCACACACACTCACAGAACGGTAATGGATGGAAAGGCTAAGAGAGGGCTGATGGCATTCAACCCGAGTGGCTTGTGAAAGCACTCGAGGTTTCGTTTCATATATATATAATTTAATGGCGTAACAGTGCTTGTGAAAGGCTGTTTAGTACCTAAGTTTCGATATTGTGTAAAAGTACGTCTTAGCTTTGGATGGAACAAAAGGAATTGATTTTGTGTGTCAAAACGTGTCGTTTATTCGCTCGGTCAATCGCTCAAACAACGAATGGTGTCAGAAGTTTTACAAATATATATACCAGCAGCAAATTTTACA